TTTGAATCCTCTGATACAACCTTACAAGTGAATTTAGATAGGTCTCTCTCTCTCTCTCTCTCTCTCTCTCTCTCTCTCTCTCTCTCTCTCTCTCTCTCTCTCTCTCTCTCTGTCTCTCTCTTCTTTGAGAAAATGAGGGTTAAGCCAGAAGAACTTGAAGGCACTTCTCTTTCCAGAACAGACATGCCAGAAATTTGGCTGGATTTTGTCTGTGTGAAGCATACGGATGTGTGCACACATCACGCATATGTGCATGTACTAGCTTGTCTGAGGTCCCGTCTGGGTCAAGGCTGGACTTAGGGGAGGTTAATCTGACACCTGAGAGGAGGCTGACATGGAGCGACATGAGACCGGAAACTGGGTTCCCTGAACTGAAATTATCAGCTAAAATAAACTGCAATTATGCACATACCAGGAGGGCAAAGTGAAGTACCACCCAGATAACGCCAAGTGACGTCACCAGCAGATCATATCGATTTCTTCGGCTTTGCCAGAAGCCAGCAGGTGACATTGCAATAATCTTCATTGTAACCTGGGGCAAAGCAATGCGGAGAGGAAATGGAGGCTGAGTGTTCAGCACATATTTCAATGTATTAACTTGAGTCACAATCTTTTTTTAAAGGATGTAGAAACCAAAGAGAAGAATTTATTACACATATATAAAAGCTGAGTAGGTAACAAATGCATCTATATTCTCCACACTCTTTTCTGCTTGTTTTATGACTAGTTTGATAGCGGGACATTTTTCTTCCCCAAGTAAAAAAACCACAGATTTTGGGAAACATCAAAATCTTTGAAATAAGGATGAATAAGAATCTGTATTTCAGAGAAGATTGCTGGAAGAAGAATATCACTGGAAAGCGATATGACATGGACCCTATATTAAAATAATCTTGTCTGGGACAACTCCCTTTGCCTTCACGTTACAGTTTGAGTCCCTGAAATACAGTGGTTTGTGTAGCTCGTTCTAAATACTCGAACTCACATAACTAGACAGGCCAACATTCTGATACAATAAGTAACAGCAATTAGCAATTCCTGCAGTTAGAAAAATCTGAACTATGAAGTGAAGCCTTTGTTCAAGTTAAGCAGAACAGCCTAAGAAGGAAGTATCCTAAGAGTATGCTACTCCCCTCCCCCCCAAAAAAGACTTCAAAAGCAACGGAACACAGAGCTGAAAGTGCCATCAAAGGAGGGCACCATTTTTCTTTTTTTTTTATTATTAAAATTTATTGGGGTAACAGTGGTCAATAAAACTACACAGGCTTCAAGTGTACAATTCTATAAAACATCATCTATATATTAATGTGGACTGTAGCACTGACTCATTACGGTACCTCTAGAACGAAGATGAAGGTGAAAACCACCGACATTGTTGCCAAAGGAACAGTCACTGGGTCCTCGACGTCCCACTGTGACAGAAATAGCACATGAGTTTTCGCCCACATCCATTGGGCAAATAAAGACTTTCCTCCTCTTCCTCCCATTTAAACATGATTGTGAATTTTAACATTTTTTTTTATACTAAAGAGCATAGATTGATTGTGAGTGGCTAGGGTCACTTGTAATATTCTTGGATGCACCACTGGATAAGAAATTCATTCCCAGAGTCTTAGGGTGAAACAAAATACCTTGACAGACAGCAGCACTGACTGGGCCAGGACAAGTAATGCAATTGTCCTCTTAAAAAATGGATGCTGGGTTATGTCATACATCTTGGCTCTAAAACCATCATTATCTGGAAAACAAAGGTTTAGGCAAGGGCATTTTAGACATAGGTCACATTTATTTTCTTTAATGCTCATCATAAAACCCATTACATTTTTTTCCCCCTACAGTTCAACCTATTGTGTAGTGTTTTGCAGGAATGGCTGGCTCTGAATATTTAAAACAATGGTGCATGACGCCGTCTGTATTGGAAGGAGAACCGCATCATTCAATTTCTGTCAGTTTAATACATTTCACTCATATGTTGAAAAGGCAAGCACAAATATATTTTATTTAAAAATTCATTTTTTCATTAAGGCTTATCCTGAGAGCAGTGAAGCACAGCCTTTGGGTGGTTGATTTTAATAGCCTATGGAGAGATCTGTAGTTTGGAGCCTGTTTCTGTATTAACTTATGCACAACCGCCTAGTGGCCTCACGATTATTATTTTAATTGAAATCTTAGACTCCTGGGGAATCATGAACACTAGTGCCCGACATGAATAAAATCAGAGCATCTTTGATACCCGGGCGAGGTGGGAGATGAAGAGGCTGTGCTATCTTCAGTCGGCTCTTCAGATCTTCCCATCTTCTCTGATCTACAGTCAGCAGAGCCGTCCCCTTAATAAACAAAGGAAAGCAGAAAAAGGCCTTGTGTCACGTACTCCACACCAAGGACATCGCACATGGGGTGGTGATACAAACAGGACTAATTTGGAAGTTTAAAATAAAGCTATTCTTCAAATTCTGTGGTGGCTTGATAAATACGGTCAGAATTCTCAAACCTGGTCTTGAAAGGACTTCCATAAAGGATGGCCACAGGTTTGGGAGAAGGTTCAGCTGTCTTCAATTGTCATCTTTGAACATGGATAGCATTCAGGCTTGAGAAAATCTAAAGAAGGTTTTCTACATGATTACATTTTCTAAAAGGGATAGTCACTCTAATAGTGGTTAGTTCCCTTTTACTTCATAGTAGAAAACGCTGCAGCAAAATTATAGCCTGTCAGTGCTGCTGCTTCTGGTTAAGGGTATTATGTATTTAAAAATTTTTTCAAAATCATTCTGGTATGTGCGGTTGCAAAACTTTTTTTTTTTTTAAGATTTTATTAGGGAATTGGGGAAGGGGAACAGCCAAGTTGTTGTCCTTCAATCTTAGTTGTGGAGGGTGCAGCTAGCTCAGCTCCAAGTCCAGTCGCCATCTGGCCGCCTGGCGGCAGCTTGCACCCCACTCAACTCAAGGTGCCATGTTCAATCTTAGTTACAGGTGGGCACAGACCACCATCCCATGTGGGAATCGAACCGGCAACCTTGTTGTTAGGAGTGCACGCTCTAACCACTGAGCAATCCTGCCACCTGTTGGCAGCTCAGCAGCAGCTCAGCTCGGGCACAGCTCACTGGCCCATGTGGGAATTGAACCAGCGAACTTGTTGCTCAGAGCTTGTGTTCTTAACCAACTGAGCCACTCGACCGGCCTGCAAAACTATTTTCAAGTGGTATGAAATAATAGAATTTGGATCTTTAAGAAACTAGTGCTGCAGGATGGCTCAGCTTAAAAAAAAAAAAAAGTAAAAAGAAACTAGTGCTGTGACAACTGGCTTAAAAGGGATTGGATATTCTTTATGCTATGAGTACGTCATTAAAATCACATAAATATATTACGTTTCATTACATTATGTTACATAGGCAGAAGTATAATTTAAGAAACTAGAAAAAAAACAACAACACCCATCTCCATTTGAATTCTTGCTTTCTTTTCCCAAAGCTAAGGACTGTCCTTCAGGGGAATATCCTCCTCACTATGTTTCCAGAACTTTCCTGGTTGTATATGTATCAATACATGAGAATGTATTCATTCTGAATTTTGAGAATTTATATAAATGGTATCCAATATGTGCTTATTTATTCAGTTTGTTTTTATCTTCACCAAACACTATGTTTTCCAAACAACTACTTACTAGATCTAACTGGTTAATTTTAACTGCTCATGGAGTAGTGGCCCACTGAACCAATACATCAGAAGTTATTCATTTTAAATTTCTGCACTATAAACACTATAAACAGTGCTGCAATAAACACATACATACGGTCTCATGGTAAACATCTATGAGCCTTTCCCCGTGTTAAATCTCTAGGAAAAAGAATTGCTGGGGTCTAGGAATTCATGCATTTTTACATTTACCAGATATTACCAAGGTTGCTGTCCAAAGAGGACTAACCAAGAAAATTTGCCACTGGCAACCTCCAAGTGTTCCCATTTCCTTATATTCTTGCTAATCTTTGACATTATCAGACATTTTAATTGGGTCATTTGATGCGTGTTAAGTGTAAGTAATTTAATTTTAATGTTAATGAGATGAGCCAGTTTTTATGTGTAGAAGTGGTGATCCCTATATCTTCCTATGTGAATTGCCTGTTCATATTCTTTGCTCATTTTTGTATTTCAATATTTACTTTTTGATGTTTTGTAGAAATTCTTAATATATTCTGGATACTGTTCTTTTGTCAGTCATGTGAGTTGTAAATATTTTCTCTTAGTCTTAGCTTGGATTTTTTTTTTTGCTTTTATCATTCAAATAAAATGTGTCTTTGATAAGTCTGCAACTTTTCTTTTTAATGTAATCTAAGTTTTTTTCTTTATGGATTTCACTTTGTGGTTAATGTCAAGAAATCCACAACTACTCCAGGATCAACAGTCAATTCTACATGGTTTAAAAATGGTTTATGCTTTGCTTTTCATAGCTTAAGTCATTCATTCATCTGGAATTCATTTTTGAGTATGCTATGAGGTAGAGATATGAGTTTATTTTCTTACATCTAGACAGTCAGTTATCCCAGCTTCACTTACTGATGGTCTCATCTCTACTGATTTGTTGTGCTACTTCTGTTTTACATGCACATAGGTGCCTCCTGGGGCTTTCTGTTCTGTGAGTCTAACTTTCTCTTGTAACAACACCAACATGGTTTTACTTACTATAGCTTGTTTCCTTTCCTTTTCCACATTTTTGTTCATGTTCAACCTTGTGAGAGGTTTATCAGTTTATTTATTTTTTTTAAAGAACAGCTTTTGTTATTCTTGAGGCTTTCTAAAGTTATTTTGTTTTCTGTATCATTCATTTCTGTTCTCTTATTTTCTTCAATTTTACTGTTATTTTTATTATAATTTATTTCTTTGGATATTTGACATATTACTAATCAATCTTTGATTTTTCTCTAAAAAAGCTATAAATTTCCCTCTAATTACTGATTTATCTATATCTTGTGAATTTTTATATATGATTTTTATAAATGATTTATCAAAATATTTTGTGATTTTCTGTTCTGATTTCTTCTGTGACTCATAAATTATTTAGAATGTTGTCAATATTTCCAAATTCTGAGGGATTTTTTTCTATCTTTTTTTTATTATGGTAAAGAACACATTCTATACATTATCAATTTTTTTGATAATTATTATTTTATGACTTTGTAGAGGATATGTTTTGTATTTGAAAATTGTGGGGGTCAGGGTTTTTTATATATCCAATAGATCAAGTGTTTTTATTGTGTCAAATCTCATATTTTCCTTATTTTCCTGTCTGATTTATGAGTCTCTTAGAGAAATAAGCTAATATTTTTCACTATGATTTTGGATACATTAGCTTTTTAAATAATTTGGCTAATTTTTGTTTCATATATTTTTCAGGTTCAGGAGTTCTATATATTTTTGGTGATTAGCTTCTTTTGCAATGATTTAATAACAGTTCATCTTAATATTTGTTTTTAATTAATTTTTTTCAATATTGCTATTGATAAACCACTTTTTTCTTTAACTGCAAGCAAATACTTGTTCTCTGGATGCTATACACATTCATATTATTCCTGTATTATAGAGAACAAGATATTTTGAAAAGTTGAAATCTGAAACGATCTAAAAGAATAGGAAGCATGGTGATGATACGGGACAAAAGAGTAGCCCCCGCCCTCCCCCTGCAACTGAAAAACTTTTAAGTTTTCTTTGTTATAGGAATTTTAAGTTTCCTTTTCCTTAAAGTTCCCTTTTCCCAGTTTTTTATCTCCTACCCCCTGCTTTAGATAATTACCCTGAAATTTGTGATTTATACTTGTTGATTGTAATCATTGAAGCCTAATGTTCTTTCCAACCTCTTCTGGGCCCAGCTTCTGGACAATTAACACCACCTGAATAACTGGTTAAGTGGCCATGGGCTCCATAGATTGGACAGATTTTGCATCCCGTAGCCACTTCGCATCAATAGCTTTGTGCTCTGCTCTTTAAGCCAACACTTTAAAATTTATTAATTAAAATCTATTTTTCCTCATTCAGAGACCTGGTGATACAGAGGATGCCCCAACAAGATTACCAGTCCCAACTAAAGAAGCCAACGAGGTCTTCCAGGTGGATCTCGAGACCCCTTCCTCTCATCAAAGATCAGCTAGGGTGAGAGTTCTGTGAATCCCCCCATAGGTCGGGACAGCTCTACCCCCCTGCCCAGCAGGAAGCAGATACAGAAGAAGAAACCTCCTGTCCGTCAGCTTCCCATAGAGATTTCATGGGGATCACATCTCTCAAGAAGAAAACAAGGCAGGCAGTTAGAGGCAGGCACTGGGTTTCTGCATTCTTGCACATTCAACACAATCCACAGAATGTGGCCACCCAAAAGACCTCCCCTCTCCACCCAAAACTTCCTCCTTTCCTCTTCTCACTATAATTATCTACCCCTATGAGAAAACAAATGAATACAAAATACCCAACTAGGTTAAACCAGTCACGCACACCTGCGCAGTAAAGGTCACAATGACCTTCATTATTCCATTGTTATAATATCATACATATGCCCGGAAGTTCATTAATATCATTGTAACAGACTAAATTCTGAGAAGGAACAGGCACAGTCTAAAGAGATGAGGTAGTAGCCTCTTGTCAGTCACAGGTGTCAATCAAGTGGTCCCATGCCCAGAGAGGAACAGCCCATTCTAGAGAAAAAAAAAGATAAAAACTCCATGTCCTGGCCAGGCAGTGCCTTTTGAGCTCCGTGTTTTGCTAGGCCTGCTCCAAACTCTTTGGAGTATGCTTTCTCTTCTAATAATGGCCCTTGAGTCACTCTCTATTGCTCGGGCCCGCTTCTATTTCTTTGCCATGTACTATCTCTTCTAATAAACTGCTCTTTCACCACTTTATTTCTGTGTCTCATTCAATTCTTTGCTCAAGATGCCAAGAAGCTGGATACCGAGCCAAGAAGGGCCTGCTCTGCGGTAACAGTGATATCATCTGATCATTAATATATGAAAGCTTCTTCTAAAAGTTTATTATTATGAAATTAAATGTATTATTAAACATAGTCTTATACTAGGGAAATAAAAAAAATGTATATTACTGGTACAGACTTTGAACTTTTTATACAGGGTTCCATTTTCTAGGGAAGATAATTTTGCCTAATTCTGAATTATGAAAACTTGGCCCCCAAAGCTTACCTTATCTTCATAGCTCTCTATTGCCTGTATATTTGGAAACCTATTTATATACCTTTGGGTATGATCATTGGAATGTAAGCTCCACGAGGGCTGAAATCTTTGTGTGTTTCGCTTGTTATATTCTCAGGGTCAAGAGCAGTGTCTGGCACCTAGTAAGTGCTCAAAGAAATCTGTTGAATGATTGCATAATAAATAAACAAAGGCTGTTATAGAGCAGCTCATGTGCTACCATCTAAAAAGCTTGCAGAAAAATACCTTTTCTAAAAAGTTTACATAATTTGGAAATTTATATCTTGTATTGACTAATCAAGTTTGTAATGTCTGATAATATGATTTCTTCTACTTCCCCTGTTTCTCTAAGACCCGTTTGAGCTTCTGTGCATGCTCCCCTTTCTCAGGCAAAGAAGCTCCTCCGTCCTTCAGGAAAAAAATACAACCAGTGTTATAAGTAGACCTCCTGTTATTCTGCTTACTTCAGCCATTTCTCTAAGTTCAAGAGCTGCATTTGTCTCTGGTTATTCAACATTTTATGTTGTTTCACTTATACTGTTGAAATGTGAGCTGTCATAGGACCTAATTCTTCTGAAATCAGGTGCTGCTCAGAGGGCCTTCTGGGCAAGCAGTGCCTAAACTCTGTTAATTGACTGATTAGCTTCTGCTGCTCTTCTGGAATTCCCAGTGTCTGCTCCATTACATGGCTCAAAGGCAGCTAAAAAGATCCATCTTTCTCTTTCTGCTTGCGATTAAACTGAACGCAGTGTAGGGCTTAAAGAAACTCATTTATGAATGTGTTAAAGTAAAATAGGGGGGCTGGGCGATATGATCTCTATCTTTTCTTACTCTAAAATCCCGTGTTTCTGTGGGTCAGAGTAGTGTTGAGGTCCAAAGGAGGGATTTTTAAGTCGCACCCTTTGAAAGTCTGAACAAAATGACATACTCATTCGGCAAACATCAAAGGCGTCAATTGACTGAGTATCTGATATCACACAGGTGGAGCCTGGGGGACCATGAATGATACAGTCCCAGGTTAGCTCCACAAACCAAAGAGCTCTGATGTGAACGCGTGCGAATCAGTCTTAGCTATGAATAACATGGAGCAGCAAGGTGCTATGCAGGCACATCCAGCGTTAATTCAATGCAGGATGACAGCTGACATTTTCATATTCTTGAATTTGAAGCATCACAGACTCTGCAGTAACAGGCACCACTTCTGAATTCTGGCCCCATTTTCTCGTCCTTATAAGACCCAGACAAGTTACTTTACCTCTGGAGGCTGTTTTTCTTTAGCTGTGCATTTCAGAGTTGTGAGAATGGAGAGTAGCATATCAAAACCTTAGTGCATAGTGAGTGCTCAAAAACTGCGTATGTCTCAATTATAATGATTTCAGAAGACTGGCCCTTACACAGCTGAGGGCAGGTAAGCCACATCCAGAACGACACAGAATGTTCTCCCTCAAACTCATATATTTTGGCAGAAAACCTCACTTGCTGTTTTCCTATTTGTGAGCTCTTGTACTGATCATTAGAGCTGCTATGAATGCAGCACACTTCCCATAAAGCATGCAAAGTTTTTATATGAAATTAGAAAATCTTTTTATCCTATGAATTAGGATTTTAAAATGTATATCATACCCTCCTCCCCACCCCATCAAAATGCTGAGTTCACCTACTGAGTTACAAAGAAGTTCACCTACTGAGTTACAAAGAAGCATCCAATTTACATTTTGTGAGAGTAATGTTACCTGCAACCAGTGCATCGGTTTCAGCTATTGTGTTTTAATAATTTACTGCACATCCTTTCAATCTGAACAATAGGAGATGTACCTTTCAGTTGGTGAATGAGTGACACTGTTACCAAAGGGGGAAATTTAGCAGGAGAACTGTGCTCTTAAATAACATGCCTGAAGGCAGTAATAAGGTATCTTGTAAAATAGTTACAGAGATTATTTACACCAGTCCCATTACAGTTTAATGCGACGTCATGCCGTGTGTGCAAAAGAAAGCTCAGAGTGAGTGGCTAGAAAAGAGTAAACCCTGTGGTACTCAAACCAAGAATTCTTACCTTGTTTTCATTGAAATTAGCAATAACTACTCCCACGAAAAGGGTCAGTCCAATCATGCAACCCAGGAACACAAAAACATGAATATAGATTCCATGCATCTGTGTAAATGAAAAATACAGTTATTCATCAAAGTGAAAGCAGCTGTTGAAAGGATTGTGTTCAAAGGATTCTCCGTGCTTGCTTACCGGCCCCACACGATGAATAATAACATCCCTCACTTCCACCCAGCCTTTCAAGGAGAGAACTTCAAACAATGCCAGCATAGCGTTTCCCACATTGTCGAAATTAAAGTTCCTCGGATTCGCCCTACAAGTCAGAAAGAGGAATGTTCTGTGAAATTCCGATGAGAAGCATGCTCAGGCAAATATCTGTAGCTCTTCCCAATCTTGGGTGCAGGGTACATTCAGCACTTGGAAGGTGGGCGATATGGTATTTCTTTCGCTAAATCATAGTGATGTGTTAATGTATTGTAATTTATTAATTATGTAATCAATTATTCGGTCATGATGGGGTGCCTTCAGTTGAAAATGACAAAACGCTACACAACTTGAGTTCTGGCTTGTCCTGATTATACGGAGGACTGGAAATATACTTTCTAGTTAGAAACTGTATGGGAGATTCTCAAAAGGGCATTGGAGTATGGATATGAATTTTAAAATACTTTTATAATTGAAAATCTTTCTAAAGGCATAAATTATAATTCCCTGTTTCGTATAGAAAGTATGAAAAGAATAGAATTTGGCCACTTATTACATTTTGTGGCCTCCTATGAACATCATACTGTAAAGTAGTGATGCGGTTAGAGGTTACTGAGATGGCAAGATGTGTTTGCTCAGAGTCTGTTTCCAGATCGCTCTCTCTCAGTTGGATTTTTTCCCTCAAGAACTCTGAGTGTTCTGGTAGATGCTTCTGGTAGATCCCAGTGCACTGTAGGCTGTCTACATCCACATCAAATTCCTGATTTTTAAAACACTCTTGCCTCACTACTTTTTGAGAGAGAGGGGATGTCTCATTTCTTGTTTTTCTGACATTTATACCTTTTTTCTTCCCATTTACAAAAGTGATCCATTCTACTATGTTGCCATTTCCCTTAGTCACTATGGGTCTTAGCTACCATTTTTGTTGTTAATAGATGTAAGTGGTTTTTTCCCTTTCCCTTTTAGAGACTATTTTAAATAATTAAAAGCTTCAGACAACCACTGGAAAATCATGACTATCACTACATTTCTTGAATATGATGGGGAACTGAGCTAAAGATTATTGAAGAGAGTAGGCCTACCTAAATCATATTTTGATACTTTTTTTCTGCTAGCTCATTCTAAAAATTTAATTGTCATAAAATGTAACTCTCTGGGGTCAACCTGATTTAGTATTTTTCTACAACTTTTTATATTTTTCAAACCACAGATCAAACATGGAATGTAATTTTCTTTTCTTTTTTAATACTAAATAGATGGGTATCTAATAAAAAAACATAAAACTGAAACTGACTTGCTCCTGAGGTTTAAGGCTGATTGGTAGAAATGTTTTCTACATAATGCAAATGCCCCACTCAGAAATTCATATTTTGGGATTCTGATATATATTTTTTAAGTATGAATGCATAGTATATTCTCTTGGATCTTTTCCAACAACTTTTCCTTTGGGGTTTCAATTACATTTAATACATTTTACAGAAGACAGAAACTATAAGGATTCTACAGATGCTACCGTTTTCTTGAATAAGGATTTGTTTAAAACCAAATAGCCAGCTCTCAGGTCTGATGTCGAACTTTCTTACTCATCCATTTTCTTTATGCAAAAGTGCTTTTTTTAGCTAAAATTGCAACAACCCAAACTACTTTTATATTCCACATCCATTAGAAGTTAGAATATGTTTGTTTGTTTTTTAAAGATTTTCTATTGGGGAATTGGGGAAGAGGAACAGCCAACTTCTTGTCCTTCAATCTTAGTTGTGGAGGGTGCAACTAGCTCAGCTCCAAGTCCAGTCGCAATCTGGCCGCCCGAGAGCAGGTCGCAGATGCTCAGCTCAAGGTGCTGTGTTCAATCTTAGTTGCAGGTGGGTGTAGCCCACCATCCCATGCGGGAATCCAACTGGCAACCTTGTTGTTAGGAACATGTGCTCTCACCAGCTGAGCCATCCTGCCACCTGTTGGCAGCTCAGCGCAGTTCAGCTTGGGCGCAGCTCACTGGCCCCTGTGGGAATCTAACCGAGGACCCTGTTGCTCAGAGCTCCTGCTCTTAACCAACTGAGCCATTTGTCCGGCCCCAGAAGTTAGAATATGTTAAAAATACACTTTTAGGCTAAACCAAGGAAAATAAAATAGAGGATCGTAAATAATTAGAAGAATACATCACATTAAATATTAGAATTTCTCAACTTTAATCATGTAAGATGCTTTCTTATGCTTTGTTCATTCACCTAAAATTGGAAAGTTTACAACTTTATGTACAACCACAGGGGACTTCAATGTATCCCAGACAGCTCTATGCCCGTGCCCAGCAGGAAGCAGATACAGAAGAAAAGACCTCCTGTCCCTCAGCTTCCCATAGAGATTTTATGGGGATCACATCTCTCAAGGGGAAAATAAGGCAGGTAGTTAGAGGTAGGCATTGGGTCTCTGCATTCCTGCATGTCCCACACAACCCACAAAATGCGACCGCCCAAAAGACCACCCCTCTCCGCCCAACACTTCCTCTTCTCACTATAATTATCAACCCCTATGAGGAAACAAATGGGTACAAAATACCCAACTAGATTAAACCAGTCACTCACACCTGCGCAGTAAAGGCCACATGACCGTCATTTCACCTGGGCCTCATTATTCCATCACTATAATATCATACATATGCCCGGAAGATTATTAATATCATTATAACAGGCTGAACTCTGAGAAGGAGCATGCACAGTCTAAAAAGGCGAGGTAATAGCCTCTTGTCAATCACAGGTGTCAATCAAGTGGTCCCATGCCCAGAGAGGAACAGCCCATTCTAGAGATAAAAAGGATAAAAACGCCATGTCCTGGCCAGGCAGTGCCTTTTGAGCTCCTTGTTTTGCTCGGCCTGCTCCAAACGCTATGCAGTTTGCTTTCTCTTCTAATAACCGCCCTTGAGTCACTCTCTATTGCTCGGGCCTGCTCCTACCTCTTTGCAGTGTACTATCTCTTCTAATAAATAAACTGCTCTTTCACCACTTTATTTTTTCATTCAATTCTTTGCTCAAGATGCCAAGAAGCTGGACACCGAGCCAAGAAGGGCCTGCTCTGCGGTAACAAAGATGCTGTATCTTCTATTAACCTCAGCTTTGAGGCTTTAGCCAAAATTCCAAAACAGTAGGGAAAAAATCCTATTTGATGTCCTGATATAAATAAATAATTTATGGTATAATAACGAGTTTTCACCTCACAAAAAAAATAAATGTTTGATGCTTCTTTAATTTTTTATTTTAATGTAAATGAGACTGCTTTTCTAGTTAGCACTGGGGTAAGGGTAGCCCCATGTGTTATATACTTCTCTACCCATACTGAAGCCACACATCTAAAATTAATCTTTTTCTTCACAATTCTTTGGTATTTAAAAAAATAAAAACCCAATATAAATTGTATTGAGTTGTTTATAAAAGTGGAGTTCATATTAGAGAAATGCCAAAGCAGTAACAATGAGTCCTAAGGGTACAACTGGGTGAAATGTTATTCCTTTTAAAGAGTGTGACATTTAGTAAGAGAAAAACAATTGTGACAAAAGCAGAGTAGTTGCTGTGGTTCACTCATTATTCTAAGAGGTAAAATGAAATAAAAAGGAAACAGGTAACGATTTAAAAGGACAAATGAAGTTGATGGAACACTCAGTTCCTCAATGAAGCCGATTGAGAAATCCCATTCATGATCATTAGGAAAATAGATGAGGAAGAAGGTGCTAGGTACTTCCAGCTGTGATGTAAGTGCTCTGAAAACTCATTTTCAGGAAAGATACAGTTTAAAGAGAGAATTAGATATAATCAATTGTGTTACTGACTATTCCTTTCCAGTGTTGCAGTAATGGAAATCCTTCAGTGTCAACGGGTTTTAAATTGAAATAGCTTTATGATTTAGGTAGTTTCTCTACAACTGTTGTGAGGACATCAGATCCTCCCTTAAAGATGAGTTTAGTTTTTTTTTTTAAGATTTTTATTAAAATACAGCTAATATACAAATTATATTAGATGAGTTTAGTTTTAATTTGATTAAAACGTTTTTAAAAATTAAATTAAAATTGAATTAAAAATGTGATTGAAAGTCTTTTTTTTTAAGCCTCACTTATTTGTAAAGCCATGTAAATCCAGATATAAACTTTTAACTACTGTGGTGATATTTCATTAGTGTCAGGAAGCAACCTAGGAGTCACTGTACCACTTGTTCTCTTATTACTGTATTTTTGCATCCTGTTGTAATTCAGTACCTTACATTGTATTACTTAAAATCATTTTAACATCTCTAAAAGAATTACTTTTAGTTTCATGACATATTATACTGATTTAAAACCTTATACTGACAAATATAGCATTCTTCAGGATATTTTTCTGATATCTTACCAAACACGGGGCACCCAAAATCCAGGTTTTTTCTCTCCAGGTCTTAATTTTAAATTTAAGTTCTTGGACACACTTACATTAATCCTGAATATGCCATTGCAATCTTCCTAAAATATGGAAAAAAGAGAGATGGGGGAGAGAACTTGGTCAGAAAAGGAACTCAGAAAAGATGAAAGAAACACTTTTTACATAAAATAACAAAGGTCTTTATCTGACAATAGTGATGTGGACAGCTAGCCAACAAATAGTAGCAGACTGGAGATGAGGGTTTGTGAAATCTGATGCTGAAAACATTAGTAGTTGGACAAAGGATCCGAATAGACATTTATCCAAAGAAGATATACAAATGGCCAGTAAGCACATGAAAAGATGCTCAACATCATTAGTTATCAGAGAAGTATAAATCAAAACCACAATGAGACACCACTTACACCCACTAAGAAGGCTATAACAAAAAAATCAACAACAAGCTTCAAAGAGGATGTGCAGAATTGAAATCCTTATACTAGAACCCTCATACACTGTTGGTGGGAATGGAAAATGGTGCAGCCACTTTGGAAAACAATGTGGCAGTTCCTCAAATGACCAAGCAAAGTGTTACCATAAGACCCAGCAATTCCACTCCTAGGTGTCTCCCCTAGGTGTCTCCCCAAGAGAAATGTATATCTGTGTGGAAACTCGTACATGAATGTTTATATCATTACTATTACAAATAGCATTATTTATAATAGTAAAAAGGTGGAAACACTGCAGGTGTTCATTAATGGACAAATATATAAACAAAATGTGTATCCACACAATGGAATGTTATTCAGTCATAGAAAGGAGTGAAGTGCTGATACATGCGACAACATGGATGAACCTTGAAAATATGGTAAGTAAAAATATTCAGCCACCAAAGGCCACATATTATATGATTCTGTTCATATGAAAGTTCAAAACGGGATTCTACAGAGACAGAAAGTAGTTTGTGTCAGTTTAGGGATGGAGGTGTCAGGGGGATAAAGGTTTAGGGGTGATAGTTAAAAGATACAGTGTTTCTTTACGAGGTGACAAAATGCTCTAAAATTCACTTTGGTGATGGTTGCACAACTCTAAATATGCTAAAAATAAGAGAATACACTTGAATATCTCATAGAACTTCAAATTTTAATCTGTTTAGTCATCTTCAACCTTAAAATATGTATCCTCCTGGCCTCCCCTTTTCTGTCCGTGAACCAGCATCCTGTCAACATCCCAGTGTTAAGATCTCAGTGCTCTACAGCTTCGTCCTATTCACATGGTCCACATCTCCATTCTTATTTCAACTAGCTTAATATCAACATTATACTTCTCTTGATTACCGAGAAAATTCTTTAAAGTAAAAACCTTCTTACACAAATAATATACCCTTAAGCTATAGCGCATGGATAAACTTACCTATAATTACCCAAAGACAAACACAATTGACATTTTGGTGTATATCCTTCCCATTTTTATTCCTATGCATATATGAGGTTGTACGGTTTTTATTCTTTCATAGCCCACTTTTTCAGTTAAAATATATTGCAATTATCTTCTCATATGTATTCATTGACAACATTATCCCAAATAGCTGTGCTGTGATGTGATATATCAAGGCCCCATGATGTAGTTGGCCCTACTCTCTCTTCCAATTTGTCTTCCTGAGCCCACCGGAGCCCACCTTTGATTGGGTGAGGCAGCTTGGTGTCCTGGCAAAAAACATGGACTGTGGGGCCAGGCTGCCGGGACATGGATCCCAGCTTCTCACTTACTGGGGGTGACCTTGAACAAATCACCCTTTGACACTAAACCTTTGCACACCTGTTTTCCTCCTCAGTAGAATGTGGGTAACAATGGCAGTTCTTGGGACAGTACTTGTACTTTGTGAGCACCGAGAAGTGTCCTGTAACCCTTTGATGACTTCTCATTTCTCCCCCCAAAATTCCAACCCCCTTAGGCTGCATTCCAGGTCCCTGAGAATCTCTTTCTAAACTACATTTCTGGCCTTGTTTTTCGGTTCATTTCTACAGGGGAGGGAAGTGAAGTTTAACATATACTATTGGGGGTGGGGTTAGGTTCTTTATGTAAGTCAACTACTCGGGGTTTAATCTTTATAATATAGCTGTGTGAGAAGCATTATAGAGGAAATAAGGTCAGAGAGATTAAGTGATCAGAGCAAGCCAGCACACCTCCTGTCTTCATTCTGCCTCCGCTTGGAAGGTCCTTTCTTGCTAGAATCCTTCCTCTCCCTAAAGCCTTCTCAGCACCGTACCCCCCAGAGGGAGGCACTATTTCCCATACTTGAAAGATTCCACATTACATCTGCTTTTCATGTGCTCTTTTAAATTTTGACTTTATGCTATAGTTGCTTAAACATGAAACACACATTCTGATTGGACAGAACATGCTGCAAAGCAGGGGCTGTGACCACGCCTCACTACGCCAATTTCTTTTCAGTTATGCTACCTGATATTGATGCTCTCTATGATGGTTAAGTTCTCTTAGGCTTTCCTTATGGGCCTACCACAGGGGCCTCATTGCTCTGGGAAAGAGGATACATGCATCACGGTATCTGTGTTTTGTCCATTCAGCGTGTGCTCTTTGTCTTCTATATAAGTCACTGATCTTTAGCTTGGGCTGGGGATGAGCAGACAGTGAAAAATCACAATGCTTTTAGACATTGTTAATACACTGAGTCATCTGAGATTCCTACTAGGCTTTGTTCTGAAATGTTATTATCTTTCTGGCCTCTATTCAGTGTGAATCTAAAATAACTCTTGTTTCTTTATACAAGCTTTTGGACTAAGCATCAGTTCTTTATGACTTCCTTCGTTAGCTAATTTGGTACAACATGACTGTTATATCATGTTCCTTGTCATGTGTACTCAGGTTTACAGAAGTTCCTGGAACCTCTGGAGAGAGGAGTTAAAGGCAGCAGTGACCTACGTGGTGCCTTGTGAAATAACATAAAGTCTACTCAACCTAACTATGTCTCTTCTGCTCCGACACGTCCCGAAATCCTCATTATGAATATAATTGATAATGTATTTGACTGGACAAAGGTGTTAACTGTATTTTATAACAATTAGAATGCTAATGATTTTTATAATTAGAAGCCTGAAAATGTAGGACTTTTCATACTGGTATAAAATCTATATTAGATAGCCATAGTTGCTGGAAATATGTATTGTAGTTCAGCTCTATTAAGTCTTTTGGAAACATGTATTTTAATGGACTCGAGGCATTATTTTAACTGTATGAACAAGGAGATACTTTTGCTAGTTTATACATCAGCAGTACTTGGTTTACTTCATTAATCTATTTGTAACATAAGGCAGTATTCTAAGAGAATGGGGCGCTGGATGGTGTAGCAGAGATTGGCTAATCATTAACAGACTGTGTCCCTTTTTCTACAGAATACACCACTAAACTATGTATCGCAGCCTCCCTTCCAGTCTGGTGATGCCATGCTCTTTCCAGGAAAACTTGAGTTGCAATGAGGTGTGCTGCTTCTGGGTTCAGCCCACATCCCTCTCAGATAAAGGTTTCTCTGTTCTTATGGGTCAGATAAACAGGGAATACTTTGAAAACAGTCAAGGGTGGGAACACAAGACAGAAGAAACCTGAGTCCCTGAGAGGTCAATTGGAGGAGAGCTGTCCAACTTATGCAAGATGCAATGTATTCATTTTATTATGTTCAGCTACTGAAATATTGGGGTTGTTCTAGCAGCTAATCTCCTTATCCTAACAATGTCTAAAGAAAAAAACAGTAGCAAAGGTATTCAAGCTTGGGTCTTTGCTGGTTGTCGTAATGGGGCTGATTCTGGGAAGCTCAGAGCTAATTCGAGGCCTGAGCTTCCTCATAGGGAGAATGCTGGCATGGAGTAGTATTAAAAAGGGGCAATACAGTCAAACTTTGCCTTTTGCACTTTTTGGGAGAGCTGCTTGCTGACATGAGTCTCATGTAATAACAGAGGCAGGATTGAGTTAGGGGAGACCTAAAGGGAAAGTTTCCTAGGTTCACAGCTATAAACATCTGGAATTTGGGAAGACTGTGCAAAAGATCTCAAGAGTGGATTGCCAGTGGAAGAAGAGTGAAGAGCACAATTCCTTGCCACGTGCTTCTAATCTTATAGACCGTTATTAGAAGGAAGAGGCATGCTGCATGCTTTAAGCAGAAGGAGTTCAAGGGAAGAGAATTCTTAAACAGTTTTTCCAGGGGTCCTCAAAGTAGGCTCAGCACATGCTGACCAAGGGCTGATAAACTACCTTGATGTTTAATTCCAAAAGATAGAAAGGAGCATCTTACCCTCCTAATAATGTTGGGATCATTGCACTTTGCCAGTTTCCCAGCAAAAAGCTGAACTCCAAAGCTTGCAAAAACAAGCATTAATGTCAGCAAAAGGATGGAGACCTGAAAGAAAGTGGTGAGATATCAAAACTCTTGGGAAAACATTAAACAGTAGGTTTGGTTCGAACAGCGATATATATAAACAGGACTTTTCTGATAACATTGTATGAAATTCATGATCTTTTGATGATATCTTTTTACTTCTCCACCATAGGTCATTTAATTAGCCTTACTGGAATGTTAAAAGAAGGAAATTAACAACAGGTTTTGAATTCTTAAAATGAAAACATGCGACTTTCATGCAAAAAAAAATGGGCTAAGGTATTTTTGATATGACTTAGACTTTTCTGATTTTTAAAGCCAACACTTTGATCTATTTTACTTAATGGAACAAAAGAAAAATGCTTAAGTAGTTATATTTTCCCCCATTTTCTCAAAATGAATTCATATTTCTATCATCAGAGCACAAATGAGAGGGCCAGCGGCTTCGTTTTCCTGTGAGCATGAGGGCCTGTGAATGTGCAGCTCATAGAGGAGTAGAGGTAGCTCAGTCCTAAAAAAGCAAATCTGTTAATTGACTTATGCTCCCTCTGCTGGATGACTACTTTGGTCTCCACAGAGAAAGTGGCATAGGATAAAATACTGAACAAACTATTGATCTGTACAGGTTGAATAATCTAAAATATACCTTAAATATACTACAATTACACAGAAACATCATGAGGAGAAAGGTACAGAGTCTTTCTAAAATCTATCCAGGGTCAAAGATGCATATACGTCAGCCATCAGGTGACATTCTGTTTTCCTCCAGTTCAAGCTGTGAAAGCCACTGTTTTATGGCTTTATGGCAAAGAAAATGTAGAATTTTCAGCACATCTTAAAAAAAATGTTAGCATCTACATGCTTATAACATTATAAATTGTCTTTAAAATACCTTTGATCAACTACAACTACAGCTGTTCTCTCACCATACCTGTGTTTCTAGAAAGCAAGTTATAAAACAGGCTTATGTAAATTAATTCATGTTTTCCATGCACAAACAGAATTCAATAATAATAAAAAGAAACCTTGATCACTCCTTTGGATGGCAAAGGTCCTTCTGGAGCAGATTATGAGCAATGAGCCTCTTACCCGTCATTTCATCTGCAGCCCTGCTCTTTGAAGACCCTAAATCAATGTTTGCTCAACTAAAAATAATGTTTTCCCCCTCAATCACATTTAGAAGCATTCATTACTGCAGATTTATGTTACTTAAAGTACAGCAAACTTGTATGTTAAATTTTTTAGTTTTTTTATGTTAACACTCTAAAGATCAGAGACAATACTATTGCTATATTCTTTAAAGGACATATAGAATGAGATTATCAGCCCAAATGTGTTAAGTCCTAATATCATTTGTGAAGTAGATGGTGTTGAATCTTCTTATCCTTAATTTCCAGATGGGGAAACTAAAACCCAGAATAGAAATTAGGGTCAAGAGTTAGACATTGACGTGTCAGCAAATATTACCTCTCTGGATTTTCCTTACATCGTACTTTCCAGAGTGCTTTTCTTTAGTTTACTAAAAATGTTTGTTGAACTAAATATACTGATAAGCCAGAAGCATGTATGGGTAACGTTTCTGAATGTGTGTTGTGCTTTATTAGTGCCTGTAGAATCCTCTGGCAAAAAACAAAATTATAGACTTAACTTTGACAAGCAAGACTTATTTATGTCCTCATTAGCTACATTACAGAGTTGGACTATGTGCACTGGAAGCAAAGGTAATGGTAACATACCAAAAAAATTTCCTTGAAGCCACTGAAAAGTTCTCGAACAACTTTCCTCATCTGAGGCACCAGTTTGAATATCCGTAGAGGTCTCAGGCACCGAAGAACCATCAGGAGCTGAGCTCCCGATTCAGCAGGCACATTTTGAGGCATCCAACAAAGAAATATCAAGCTCACCTAGAAGGGAAAAAATAACCTCTGAAATGTATATAATTTATCCTCTACTATCTACATTTTCTGAGAGCCAAGTGGCCACTCCTTTTCCTTAGCAAAGATTCCACAGGTTACGTGGGACAAGCATTCACCAGGTATATATGCAGTCTCTTAACTCTAAACTATGAACCCACTCTAGACCTGCTAGCAGCCCCAGGGGAAAGTCATCAGGTGTTTGCAGGAATGAGATGGGGAGCCCAGACTGAGTGTGTACTCCAGTGCACTCTGCTCCTTCTCTTAACTGACACGCTGGAGCACGCTCCGCTGATGTCAGCAGGATGGAAATTCCTTTGATCAAAGATACTAAATCTCATGCTTGACCTGAGGCTCACTATTTTATTAACAATCTAAACATGCTACAGTTAATGGTCACAATTCTCCTTGCTGTGTTGGAAAAGACATTGATTTTATGCCTTGCTGGACATATAGGAAAAAAATGAAATTTCTTTGAGTCGCTTCCTATGGTTTCTCAAATTAGTTTAACCAAACAGTTGAATGGTCTTTCCTAGCCAGATATTTTGTGTCTTAGAATTGGGAGTAATGTCCAGCCACACTCTAAACTTTAGTTTGCTTTTAGAAATCAAGGACTCATCAATCAATTATATGATGTATATTTTTGTTTGTTTGTTTGTTTTTTAGTAGAGGAGCAACAAGAGTTGTAGGGAGCAAACTAGATTTGCTATCTTAGACTTTATTTATGTATGTCTTATGTATACATGAATGTGGTTGATGTATTTGAACCATATCCATGGATATTTTTAATACTTTTAATGTAGATTTTATATGCATGCCTCTTATTAGGCTATAATGGATTACTCTATTTAAGAACTCAGTTTGGCAGCTAAACCTTTGTGACTCACATATTTCACCCTTGTACCAAGAAATACAGGCGATTTTACAGAACCATCACATTTTATATTTAAGAAATAATCAAAGACTTACAAGATATATAAATATGTCCATTACTCCACCAAAGTCCCTGATGACAGCAGTTGGAGTAAAAAATAGGCCATCTGCCATAATCTTCAGATTAAGCTCAATGCTCATGAATATCACAAATACATACTCAGCAATCTGAAATGGGCAAAAGGCAGTTTGATCACAATGAATAGTAAAATTGCAGGTCAGTGTTTTTTCTCAGAGCTGTGAGCTAAGATTCAGCAGCAGTACCTGCAGAGTAGGTGCATGCATGACTCTTCGAAAGGGGGATTCAAACATCATGGAAATGCAGGAGCAGATGGTTACGATGATCATGACCCAGTCCAGGTAAGTCACCAGTCCCAGCAAATCACTGCCAAAGACCAAATGGAAGTGAGAACACAAATGCTCTAGGAAGGGATGCTAAAAGTCAGAGGAGATGCTTCTGGGGTGCTAACATGACTCGTATATTTTTATGAATTCTCAGTTGTCTATGTCATGGCATGATATAGCAAGAAAATAATGTAAATTAAAAAAAAATTTTTAATTAAAATTTATTGGGGTGACAATTAGTAAAATTACATAGATTTCAAGTGTACAATTCTGTAATACATCATCTATATATCACATTGTGTGTTCACCACCCAGAGTCAGTTCTTCCATCACCATATATTTGACCCTGTTTACCCTCATCTACCACCCTTCTCTCCCCTTACCCTCTGGTAACCACTAAACTATTGTCTGTGTCTATGAGATTTTCTTTCTAATATGGGGAAAGTTTATATTTATTTTTATATAACACAGAATAGTACACAAAAACTTCAAATGTGCATGGAAAACAGAATTTGTAATGCTTACTAAAGTTGATGGTACTTTGTATTTTTCACAGCTCCTGTGACAGGATCTGTTTTAGATCTGTAAGAGAGAATAAACATAACATTCTGCAACATAGCAAGGTGTTATAACTTGGCAGCAGTGTATTTATAAACATCTCATACCTAACATCTCTTTTTTATCCTCTATAGAATGTCCATTACCATATATGTTAACTGTATGTGACTTTGGAAAGCAGAGAACATCTGATGAAAGAAAAATCAGAAGAGCTTGCAGCTGATACTTATGAAAGAAAAGCTTTATATTTCCCAAAATTTGATTTTTGAATTTGTGATTCCATTCAACAATTTCTGATGTGGATATTACAAAATTAAATTTTGAATTCCATTTAAAAACACTCAGTAAAAATATTTGCTTTAGCAGTTCAAGGATGGTCCTCATAATTATTTAATCAATGATGTACAAATTCAATAGAGTTCTTCACCCTGTGTTTAACTGCGATCTTGTGGAGTAATTTATATAGAATTTCTTGGGAGTGGGGATTTGTAACTTTTACTTTCAGGAAGCCAATCTTCAGTGAAGCCCCTGATGCTGTTTGTACTCCCCGGTTACAACAAAGTCTTCCTCGGCCTACACCAGATGCGTTGCTGACAAGGAGAATTACACCCCACTAACTGGAGTGGAGAATTAACAATTAGATGTTAACATGGAGGCAGCCAAAGGGATAATTCCAGATGAAAAACCCACTTGGGAACTGATCAAATCAGTGGTACATTGCCAGCTTCTTCCTTTACTTTGTGAAAACTCAGAGAAGTTTTTAGTGATTATTACTCAGGTGCTTTAAACTGTGAAGGTCTTTCTAGACAGAAGAAAGAATGATAGAGTGACAGTCAGAGAGCCATGCACTAGCTGGTGTCCTTGAGCAAAGCCCTTAACCTCTACTGACCTAAATGCCCTCCTCTTTTGGAGGAGGGTGGGATACTAATGACATTAAATGGCTGCTAAGGTCTCCTCCGGCCCTGAAATGTTACAACGGTATATTAGTTTCCTAAGGCTGTTGTAACGAAGTACAGTAGACTGAGTGGCTTAAACAACAGAAATTTATTTTCTCAGGTCTGGAGGCTACAAATCCGAGGGGAAGGTGTCAGCAGGGCTGGTTCCTTCTGAGGGCTGAGAGGAGGATCTGTCCCAGGCCTCTCCTTGGATTGCAGACAGACATCTTCTCCCTGTGTCTTCACATAGTCTCCCCTCTATATGTGTCTGTGTCCAAATTTCCTAGTCTTTTAAAGGGCATCAGTCATATTGGATTAGGGCCCAGCTTAATGGCCTCATTTTAATTATTTTTTTTTCTTCAAAGTCCCTATCTCAGTTACATTCTGAGGTACTGGGGGTTAGGAGTTCAACATATGAATTTTGTTTTAGGGGGAGCACAATTTAGCTCCTAACAGGTAGTGAGTATCATATGCTACTGTCAACAAAGGAGATCAATTTACTTAAGTGATGGCCTCAGGGAAGGTCCAACTACTGATGGGAAAGTAGTCACACTTCCTTCAGGACTCTTAATGTCTTCAGGATATTTGCTTGGGTATGCATGACAAAAATCCCATTTTGTCCCTGGTCGTCTGCTCCCACTGGCTGCCATCATCTCAAATGCAGTGTTCTCCAGGTTTACCACATCGATAGCCTCTTGCACATTCCTTCCGTGTGAGTAGGGAAGAGACACTGGCTAGTGGGTTTTCGTCTCATAACAGTTGGCGGGGGAAAAACTAGTCACCTTTCTTCCTACTTCACATTATTCTAGAATAAACCAATTAGGGTATTTTGACGATAAAGAAACTACAAGTCTAAAAGAAGGTGCATGCAATGACCTTTGTACCATGTCATCCAGCCTCCCTTTCCTTCAGTGTTTCCAAAATAAAATATGGAGTTAATAACACTGATATAAACGTACTGGGCAAAGGCTAAAATGAACAGCTAAACATGGCCGTTCAGTGCTTTATAAACGTGAGTTTTATATAAATATTAACTACTTGCAACCTTTGTTTGTTTTCCACCTGGTTGGCCGCTCAGCAAATAGGAGCAGCATGATTAATTAGCCCACAGTTTATTTTGTGACCCCATTAGGATTACACGCGCCTTCTTCCTCATATGACAACCCCCCCTGCTGTTTGTACGACTGGGGCCAAACACCTGGCTGAAATTGAGTGTACTTACGCATTGAAGCGTGCCCGGACCACCACCCGGCAGAAGTTTCTGAACCTGTGCTCACGTCCAACGATGAACAGGGGCTTATCGAAGTATGGATGATTCTCTCGCAGTTCCTCTTCTTGCACTTTCCTTGAAGTGGAAATTTTGGGAGAGTCAAGTTCAGAGGAAGTTTGCCATTCCAAAACGAGTGCCAAGAAACCCCGTAGCACCCTGTACCTTTTCATTTCGGCTTGCTCCTTTTTTTCCTGGATCATCTTTATTTCACTGTCTTCTCTTTGTGCATTTCTATATCTCACCGTATTCGAGTGCTAGAAATAAATTAAAAGGGGCATATCAAAACAGAAGATTTTCTTGAAGACCCCTCAAACTGATCATTTCTTAAAAATGGAAATAACTATCTTTATGTTATATGTATTTCAATGGCCATGGTCATCTTAGCAAGGGTATTTTTTTTTCTCGAACCAATTATGGGCTGGGTGCTATCGTAGTGCTGGAGATAAGGCAAAAGAAAACATGCAAATCCCTGCTCTTCTGGGGCTAATGGTCTAGTCAGGGGAGACAGACAAAAATTAAATCAAAATAAGAATATTAGAAGAGGTTTAGCGCTCTGGTAAGAAACACAAAGGGCAGTAAAGAGTGCTGGAGGCTCCAAGTTTACATAGGTCAGAGTAGGCTTCAATAAAAAGCTGTTATTTGAGCAAGGACTAGAAGGATGTAGCCCCTGGAACTGTGCAGAAATGCAGCCTTCCAGAGGGGGGAGTGGGCCCCTGTGTATGCACATGGAATAGCCAGGAGGCCCGTGTGGGCAGAGAGCAGGGAACCAAGGAGGAGGGGAGGGCGTCAGACATGTGAGGGGGGCTGGCAGATCATGTAAGACCTTGACTTTGGTTTTCACTCTGTGGGAGATGGAGAGCCATTATTCAAAGAACTTAATAGATTTTACAGAAAAATATTCCTTAGATTTAGTTATTTGCATCTTCCATCATTTGGAATAGCTGAAAAAAGATGAAACTCTCTATTTTAAATTGCTTCCATTATGGAGGAAAATACATTAGGAGAGGTTTCTTATGAAATTAGCAGAATACTCATGACCTTTTGCTATGGAGAAGATGGCAGATGAATTTGTGTTGTACATCTATGTAGGAAATATAACAAAATGTCTTTGAGGAAGAAGTAAACATTTGGAATTGGGATAATTCAAAGAGTCTTTCATTGTGTACATTTAAACACATATTTTCAAAGCCATGTTCTAATTTGTTAATATATTGCACATTTCTACTGAATCACACTGAAGGAAAGTCTGTTGAACTAGTATTGTCTCTCTGAATTTTTGTCTAGAAATTTTCTCCATGTACTATGGCTGACCCTCAAATTATACAGTAAGTACACAGGCCATGTGTTGGATCCAATCACAATCCCGTGTTGACAATATTGTGGATCATATCAGACAGAGCTCTGGCTTAAAAATCACGGTGTTAACAGGTGTTTGCACCAATTAAAACCATGTACATTGGGTAATGATAATATCAGGTGTTCTCATCACCAACTTCTTTCATTCTCAGTTTTACCTGCAACACTTAGTAAGGAGAGTTTACTCTGACTAAGATAGCAATTTCTTGAAAGCAGATGAAGTATGCTGAAAATTCCAGAAGCTCTTGAGAAATAAGAATTAAGTGGTAGAAAAGACAAAAATGAAAAACTATAAGGCTTTGCTAACTGTCTCTTGCTAGACCTCTTTTCTTAAATGCCATCCTTGGCTCTGAACATTTAAGTCTCTGCTTTTTTAGCTACGTTAGCTAGACTCAACTTAAGACTTGGTGAGCCTAACCCAGGAGTTAGACTTTTGCCTCCTCGGGCATCCCTGGGTTTTCACATGGCTCCCTCCTGCACTTCATTTGGGTCTTTGGGCTCATGTAGAGGCTCATGCATACTGACCATCCCCTAACATTCCCTGACCCCAAATTTTCACCTTCCAATTCTTTACACTATTTTATTTTTCTTTATAGTACAGAGCCAACCTGTCACAGCAATGAAAAGAAGGCGAAAAATAAATAGAAGTTATTATATATTTGTTTACTTGCTTATCATCTCTTTTACAAGAATGTAAGCACCTGCAGGGCAGAGATGATGTCTTATTTCTCCATTACTCCTCATCACTTAGAACAAGATCTGGTGTATAATGAACACGTGATAAATATTTATTGAGCTAGAAAATAAATGAATGAATGATCTAGAGTCTAAAGGCAAAGAAATTATTGGGAAGTTTTATGCAGTCTTTGACAGAAAAATTCTTCTAGAAATAAAATTTTATTTCCTAGTATGTAAAGCCCTGAAATTGTAGACATTGGATCTAGATTCTAGAATATTTGGGATCTAGTAAATATTCAAAGGTAATGACATGAATCACTTCTATAAAATGCTTTGAATGTCTTTAATTTCAGTCAAATTCAACTGATATGTCATTTTTGTGTTACTGTCTTAGGGAAGACATTTGCTTTGTGGGTTGTCTGGAATTTTCTACAGCTAACAGTCACTTTTTTGTACTTGGCAATTTAATTTGCTTCCTGAATCTCTTTATTTCCTCTAAGGAGATGTAACAATGTGACAGAAAGACCCAGGCACTAGAATTGTCTCAGCAGTCATCTAAATACATTTTCACGATCGTATTTTCAAAATCCAAAGCACTGATTAGGAACTTACATCTTGAGTCAGAGTTTCAAGAGATTTCCCTCTGCTGATCCTCTGGCTGTTTGATCCATGTCTTAGTGATCTAAAACAACCACAACCAACTGGTCAAGATATCTCAAGAACAAATTTTGACTTAAGCAATGACCATCATAAAAATATAAATAAACAACTTTTCTAATAGCATTACAAAAGCTTATTTCTTTTTATAGCAAAAGTTTTAGTCCATCCAAATGTTTTTGAGCCCATGTAATAAAATTCAGATTTTTTTCCTTCTGCTCTTAAGAGTGAGAATTTGGATGTTACCAATGAAAAGGTTTTTGAAAGATTTTTTTTTTGAATCTTTGAATCTGATTGTGAATCTCATTACTGTCACCATCAACGCATAGAACCTATGCCTATCTGCTAACCAGAGTTGTGCATGGTGAACACTTCCTGTAAAACTCCTTCCCTTAATTTCTTTGCAGCCTCATCTCCTGGAGTATTTACCTGCGCTCTTGGCGGATGTGATGCTGTACACTGAGAATTGACCTTTCCTTTGCCGGCTGCCCCTCAAATGATCCACTCAGCATGCGCTGTCGAGTGCAAGCTCTAGGAACAAAAGGAGCCAAAGATAAATGCGTGGTCTGTACACTTGGGATGAATAATACATAACTGCTCATTACTCTTATTATTTTTAAGGAAACACCAATGATAAGGTAAAATGCAGCAAATGGCATATGACCATGAAGGAAAAGGAGTTTTAGGCTTTGTGTCAAGAACACTTAGGAAGCAGAACTGTCATAGCTATTGAAGAGGGGCTGGAAAATAAACAGAAAGCTCCAGCCCCTCACCCCCAACCCCCACCATGTTTTGCCTCCTCAACCCCCAAATAGGAGAGCATCTGTCAGGGTTCTCTAAGCAGTAGGGCCAGCCTGGCCACAGTTAATCATGATGTTGGTCTTGGATTTAGACAAGGAGGTTTCTAATAAAAGCCCTTAGGGGAAGATTTGTCCACCTAGGCCCCTGGGATGATGGGATATATGTTCCAAGAAGATTTCGTAGAACTCTAGGGAAATCAGAAAACATAAAGTTAGAGGCACAAATTAGCAGTATAGAGAAGTAACTAAAGCTGGAATTAATACCTAGAGGAACCTTAGTCTAAAGCCTGTGGCTTACAGGTAACCAGTTACCAACTACATTGAAGCCGCAAAACTTTGAAGACTTTTAAAAACATGTTCTCTTTTTCACAGTTGGGAGACTGACACCTGTGGTGTGAATGATTTGGAGAGAACAAAATTTCTTCTCCAGAAAGCTCACTCCAACTGGAAATGACACAAATTCCCTTGATGTTGTAGTCAAGTGGAAAGGAAATAATATGGGAGTTAGGAGAAATATGCTCCAGAGGTGACACTGTCGGGAACTAGCTGAGTGACCTTTCAGCTCAGTTCCCGTATGGGTCATGTGAGGAGAAGGCCCTTATCTAAAAGAAAACTCATAGGCTTAAAATGCAATGATTATAGGATAGGAAAATCTCATGACACCGCATGGATTCAAACACCTGAACATATGTACTACTGTCATTGCTTTACATCACAATTTTATATTGATGCTTCCTAAAATGCATTTCTAGACTGGCTTTGAATTATATTATTACTGTCTGCTTCAGAGTTAAGATCTTTGAGAAAAGATCTGTGTCTGTTTAGCATACTTAAAACAGTAGCTTTTATGATGTCATGTGTATATTTAAGTAAATGCTTTTGATGCCAATAAAGATAATGATGATGAATACCTATGGAAAATCATACAAATGCAATGAATGTAAACACATTACAAGAAACAGAGCCCAAATGCTCACTCTTCTTAGTTTAATAAGCAACGTGAACCATTTTGAGATAAAATCCAAGTCAAAATTTTATTGGACAACAAGGATTTATGACAATGATGTACAGAGATGGTGTATACTTCCAGGACTAGGGTGCTGTCACATTTGTAAATTAGGCTGAGTTGACAAAGGCATAGCGCAATCTTATAATTTGTATACTAAGGGTTGTTTTTCCATCAGAGGACTGGAAATTATGAAGCCATCCTGAGAAAACCTATTTGGAGAATGGTGTGATTCTAGCACAGATGTACAGATCCCTGACATTTGTGTAACCACGAAGACTTCACCTGCAGCCCGTCTCTGTAACTTTTATTTTTTTTATCACAAGAATCTCCCCTAAAGTAGTTGAGATCTTAAGCCTTAAATATAAAACACATACAACTGAATTATAATGTACCTGTTTGAGTTGAGTGTCCTGCTACATACGAAATGGACAAATGTAGCTGGCTTTAAGCTGCCTGTCATTTAGGACTGCCTGAGTTTGCCCCACAGGCTAGTCTGAGGCTGCCTGGGCATTCTTGCTGGGGAAGAGTTAGCACTGCATCTACTGACTCGAGGGCCTAAAGGACATCCCAGCACCTGGGTCAGCATAACCCAAGCCCGTGTGGATCCTGCTGAGACACCCTGCTCTAAATACAAGACAAGCAGGTCTCCATGGAGACCCGCAGCTATTGGAAAGACTCCCCCTACCCTGTGACATCTCTTCTATCTCCTCAAACAGCGTGGCTGAAATGGTGGTGAGAAAGCATGTCCCTTTTCCTCTGGTTTAAGGTCACTCCTGTCTTTCCCATTGGGGCTAGAGAAGTCAGAAAATAGTATTAAAACAAGCTGGAGTTCAGCCATACATGTGAACCATTGTTCTCTATATGAGTCACTCATTTCAGGAGGGGAGCTGGCATTTAGCTCTACCCTGCAATCAGGAAACCTGTCCTTAGTCAGGTTGAGACAGCCACTTAAATGTGTGTAATAGGTAAAATCATTTGCTTTACTTTCCCTACCACTTTCTTCTATGGTAATAACACTGTTTGCTAGTACCATTTCAAACTAGATAATGATGGGAGAAAAATAAAGTGCTTGGTAACGCTGGGCCAGTTAAAACAGGTAACAAGTGACTCGAGCCAAGCGTAAACCTTGGTGGTTTCTATTTCCTCACTCTGAGGGCCCTGGGAGGATCTTCCCATTCTCTGAGCAGAGGCTGCTTACTCTATGTCTGGCACTCCAAAGGTACCCACATAATCTGAGCAAAGTGAAGTCAGGCAAATGGGGCCATATTGCCTTTGTTAAGAGGTCATCTTTGGTGCCTCAGGATCATGTGACTCTCTCTGGTCTCCTGTGCCAGTTCCACACCACAATACCCCACCTCCACGTCTGGTACCAAAACAAAGGAAACAGTCTCTATCTTCATTTAGCAGTGCTCTTGTTCAGTTTCTTCTTGGACCAAATGCTCTGATAGCTCCTTCTTTCCTTTGAATATCTCCTATGGCTTTTGAACTAGAAAACCCAGTAGGTGCTCAATAAATATTTGTTAAATGAATGAACCTTGAAATTCTGTGAAGATCAAATATTTTAATTTCTTTTTGATCACTTCATGGTTATGAAGCATGGAAATAATCACAAACAAAACAGCATGTGTTTGAAATATGCTATTTGAAGGAGAAGTTAAATAATCTTAATTTTATTTCAAGTTGGAATATTGTGCCATCAAGAAATGAGCTGCAGGCCGGCCAAGTGGCGCGATGGTTAAGAACTGGCTTGGGACGCCAGAGGGCCCTGGTTCGGATCCCACATCTGAGGGCCAGTGACGCTGCCCTCTACAGCTAAGATGCTGAACAACAGCTCAACCTGGAGCTGGGCTGCCGTGAGTCACTGGCCCCTGTGGCAGTGGGTTGCCATGGGCTACCGTGTGTAGCCAGCAGCCAGTGTGAGCATCCAGCAGCCGCAGTGAGCGGCCGTCCAGAAGCCGGCGACTGATCTGCCTCGCCCTGGAAGAGCGCAATGATGGTGCCAGCTTGGGCCAGTGAAGCAACGTCCTCCACAACTAGACTGAAGAACAAAACGACAGCAACTTGTCTGTTCCCCTTCCCCCAATTCCCCAGCACTGTTCCCATTCACCAATTCCCCAATAAAAATCTTTAAAAAAAAAAAGAAAAAAGAAATGAGCTGCACACCTATAATAGATGAGACCCTGAGACAGTCATGAAAAAAAATCAGACTTTGCTTCTTGCAAATAGAAAATTTATAAACCTTTATTTATATTCTAAGTGAAAGCTGTTAAGGAAACATTTTACCAATAAAGAATTTGAGACTTTTAATATTTTACCAATATTTTCGTAAAAGACCTCCTCAGAAGGAGATGTACTTGAATGTTCAATTAAGTCATTATTTTATCACTTTTAATTTTTCATTAGAATTTAGGTGCCTTTTGGTGTCATATAAAGACAACAGAAATATGTTTCAGGAAGAAAATGTTCCTTTATTTGCTCCCTAGAGAAAAAACAAAGGTAATGGTATTGAAAAAAATGCACTGATCTTCAGGGAAGGTCTCGCTTTTCTTTGAAAGACCGATAGAGTCATGCATGACATTAAGGTCTTCAGCATCTTCGATCTCTTCATAATGGCAGGTACTAGAAGGCCAGTTTCTTAGAAACTCCATCTAGTGGCTTAATGTAAAAAAAAAGAAAAAAAATTTGTCTGCCAGTTTGGTTTCTGGAACTGGGAGGCACAAGGCTTCAAGTGTCTGGTAAAAAATAATGAAGTCTTTTGTCTTGTCTGAGTGAGGAAATTCTCCATTATGCAGGCATATGTAATCCCTTTATTCCTGCTCCCTGGAGGAGAATTACAGTGAAGCATTTTCCTTTTCCCAGTTGGGGTTAATGTTATGCCCTCTCTACCTTTGAAAGTAAAACAAGACTAGGACCCCTGATGATGATTCAAATGTGGGAATATTCTTCAGCAAACACACATTCCCAGTTGCAAAAATATTACCCCTGGTTTCTTGCCAAGCCTTTGAAAAAAAACATATGAAAGATTGATTCTTTTTTTTTT